CATCAACATTGTTGACAGTAGTTATATGTTTGAACAATAGTTTCATATATTGATAATCAACACAAAGTTTTAAAAGGGGTGATTTTTTTTCACATTAAAGACTAATGTTTGGCATTTATAAATGTTTATTTGTCATTTATAAATAAGTGTACTGTTTTACACTTTATGATAAGTCTCCCTTTGACGGTTGTGAATACTTATAATGCAGTATTACAGTATGTGTTTCTTATTGTTATTGTACTTACAATGTAGTAACATAATATACCACATTTAGATGTAATATGTACGTGAACAGATTTGTCTCATTATTTGGTAAGAAACCAGACAGTTTTGTCTCTTTCTCGTCCTTAATTATTGCATGATAAACATTTATTAATAATTTATAAAGTGTTAACAGATGAATTAATAACCTATCTATAAACTCTGTCATTTACTGTAAAGTGGTACCATTTTTTTGGTAACTATTCTTTCTGTAAGTTTCCTAATAACCTCTGTCATAACAGGGTGTTTTTGGCTTTGGTGGAGCGGCAGGAAGACAGAGGCACAGTGGTGGCACAAGGTGGAGGAAAGGTAGAACTACATAGTAAAAGCCTGTTTWACAAAATGAAAATATTTTGCCTTAGGCTGGTAATAATTTCTCTCTGTTCTCCTCCACAGGCTTTGATTCCTCTTGCAACTGACAACACTAATATAGGAAAAGTGAAAGCTGCTCAAGCCTTAGCAAAAATAGCGATTACATCGAACCCAGAYATTGCCTTTCCAGGAGAGAGGGTAAAAATGCAAGCAGTGATACAAACACTATCATTGACAATGTAAAAGAATTCTCTTGTCTAACCTTCTCCAACATTGTGTTGGCAGATCTATGAGGTTGTTCGCCCACTCGTGAACCTTTTGAGTCTAGAGTGCACCATGTTGCAGAACTTTGAATCTCTAATGGCTCTCACCAARCTGGCTGGCATCAGTGAAAGACTCAGGTTGGCCACTAGGGGGCAGTCTCCTCCTGCAAATACACTCAGTGACATGTAGTTCACACAGAACTATAATTTCATTCACTATTTGGAAATTCTTAAACATTTAAAACAAATAATCATWAAAGTTATTTTTAATTATATTAAGAATAGGTTACAGTTCTATAAAATTCTGTTTGTAGAGATGAGGCCTGTGTCACAGCTGTTCATATGATCAATAATGTGACAGTATCTGGTTTTGTTTTAGTGTTTTGCCAAATCACACTTAAAGATTTATTTATTTATTTATTTGCTTTCAGTTTTCACATTTTATTTCGCTTTTAATTTTGTTTTCTTCTCACAGACAAAAACTCATAAAAGAGAAAGCCGTACCAAAAGTTGAAGGTTACATGTTTGAGGAACACGACCTGGTCCGAGCGTCTGCTACAGAGTGCATGTGTAATTTGGTTTTGAGTACAGAGGTAATGCTCATATTTTTACAAGGAAAATCTGTGTTACAAATCTGAAAAAAATAAGTAAATAAATGGAACTCACAGTGTGTTGTGTTCTCAGGTGCAGAAGTTGTACTTGGCCACAGGCAACGATCGGCTGAAGCTGCTTGTGCTTTACAGCGGTGAAGATGACGAAAGGCTTCGAAAAGCTGCTGCAGGAACTCTGGCCATGCTGACAGCTGAGCAGTCTGAGCTCTGCGCCCGCATCCCCGGAACTGTGAGAAAACTCTTCTTTGCACTTTGACAAAACACTGGTTATATTCTGTCCGTGACTTCCGTGGTTCTGTTCTTTGCAGACGACACATTGGCTAGAGATCATTCAGGCTCTGCTGCTCAGTGAACTCCCTGACCTACGTCATCGTGGAGTGGTCATCGTTAAAAACATGATGGAGGCAGAGAAAAGTCTGGCTGAGACTCTCATAGAGAGCGAAGTCCTGGAGATACTTTCTGTGCTCGCAAAGGGAGGAGAGGGGACCCCAGATCCTGTCTCAAAGATTGCTCAGAGCTGTTTGGATAAAGCTGTGGAGTACGGCATCATTCAAAGCAGGGAGGAGAAGGCCTGAAAAGTGCAGCTGCGGTGTGTGGATGTGCCTTTGAAGTGCTTTGAAAATTATTTTGGGCATTGAAGTCATTTTATTGTTGACAGAAAGGGATTTTTTTAAACAAAAATGATTAAAAAGCCAAAAACAAAATTAAGACTTTTGATGACAACCAGTGGTCAAAATGTTTTGCCACAATGAAATTTGGACTTCCAACCTCCCATTCACAGAAATTTTAAAGTTGTAAAGAGTGGTATTCTGCTGCTCAGAGCTTGAGTGAATCCGATCCAATTGCTAAAAAGTTACTTCCATATCTAGTAAGTCCAAAAACTTCACAGCATTTGACTTATTTAATCTATGAGGCACAGCATTCCTACTATTTTTCATTATCACCTTTTAAATGCTGTCAAATTGTTTGTTTTCTTTTGTACTTTTCCCAAATATGCATATTTTTCTTGTCGACCAGTAAGGTTGTTTCAGACTTTGTCTTATTTTCTCTTGACCAAATACGATTTTTTTTTATTTAGACAAACCTGTACACAAACTTAAATTAATGCACATCTGTGTCTAATGTTTTTCAGTTTTCTACCATTACTAATTAAGTTTATTGTGCACTTTTGGTTTCAACATTTAACGTAATGTTATATTAATCACTTTTCACTACATTCCAAGTATATTAATTTATGGTTTGCTGTTTCATCATCCACAGACTGAACACTTGGACTGAAAAATACATYTTTTGTACTGGCATTTAATGTATCAGCAGTTTTTTGCCACCTTACTTTCCACATTGTAGGATGTAGAATTTTGTGCATTTTGTAGAACAATAACATCTTCACAGAACTTAAATGTCTCTCGTTTTTAACTAGTTTAAAGTTCTTAAACTTCACACACACACACACACACACACACACACATAAATTTCAATAAGGTTTCACCCACCATCTGAATTTGGACATTTCACACTGGGAGAGATTTTTCAGAACTTCCTGGTTGTCCACTAAGTTTTGCTGCTTTCCTACCACAGAAGCACAACTTTGTCAGTTCTCAGAATTTCCAGGATTTGAACTAACATGAAAGCAAGAAGAAAGTTCTAAAAAAGTCAAATACATGTATTTTTCAAAAACATTTGGATTGGCTCCCAGACAAATCAGATTTTAAAATGTGTCCCCTTGTGAAAATGAGTACAACACCTGCATTATACACATATACAGTGTGTACTTTTGTTGACATCACAAATGTTATTTTATGCAATTTTTGTAATTCGTGTGCACAAACAAATAACTAAAGCATGAAGGTCCGCTGCACTCTATCCTGTTGTAAATAACCACATCTGCGCATGCGCKGTGCGTTCGAGCGCGAGCGATTGTTTTTCCGGTTTAGTTTTGCGGATAACAGCGTCGCGTTGCTCACTGAAGGGGAGTCAGTGGACGGATTAAATGCGCTGGTTTGGGTTTGGCTTCAACGCCTTTGGACAAATATGTGTTCAGGAGAAATTAGTTAAAGAAGAAATTAGCGACACTGTCGGGGAAGTCAAAGTGAGCATTCCCACAGAGCTAAATGTGGACGAAAGAGGCTGCTGCTGCTTGAAGGCGAGTCAGATCAGAGCGAGTTGGAGCCGCAGAGCATCTCTGCATTTGGATGGTAAGTTTGGCTCTTCTGTGTGTTTTAGGGTTCTGTAAAAATGATACACTCAGTAAATCGTTTGTTTTGTGGTTCTTRAGCGGACAGCTGTGTGTGCCTGGCAGGTTTCGGGTCATCCTCCTTCAAAGAGTCTGGAGTGAACACCTGCGGCTGTAGAGATGCAGTCCTCAGTGAAGGGCACCTTACTCTTGCTTTCTCAGACAGAATTGAATCCTGGGAGCTGCAGAAGAAACATGAAAGTCCATCATGGAGCATGGAGATAACCGCTCATCAGAGCTCTGGTATTTTAATTTTTGGCGCAGATGACAAATACAAGCCACAAACGTGTTGTTATATATTTTTATTTATTATTTCAGATGTAAATTTGCCATTGGTGCCCGGTGGTTACATAGCACCTAAACCTCCCATCTTCCGCTCCTTGTCTCCTCACCTGCAAGCAAAGAGTCTGGCCCTGGGAGGAGACCATGCCATCCTCCTGACTGCCACTGGAGCTGTCTACAGCTGGGGTCTGGGCAGGTAGATTAAATGCTGACACGTAATGCACATCTGAGCCTAACATCCTCATGTATACAGCAGATAAAATAAGTATTGAACATGTCACCATTTTTCTCAGTAAATACATTACTAGAGGTGCTAATG